CTAGATTGGAGAGAGAAAAAGCTGGATACCAGTTAGGAAGCTGTTGCCTTCCTAATGATCTGCACTAGGATGTTTGTCGTGTGAATAGAGAGAAAGGGACAGATGAGGAATATATGGAGGAGTTTGAACGGACATTTTCAGGTAGGGAAGGACAGAGGAAGTAAGAGTGAATTATGACTCTTAGGTTGGAAACCTGAGTAGATTGGATGAATAATAACGTCCATGACAAAAACGAGGAAATAATAAGGAGGGGTGGGTTTAGAGGGAGGAATGATAGTAAGCTCCGTTTTGGATGTGTTGAGTTTGAGATCCTGATGGGATAGCCAGTTGCACAATTGGACAATTGTGGGTGCAGGACTTGAGCCCAGAATTGACTTAAGGCCCAGACATAATTTACTGTGAGTGCTACCAACCCTCCTCACCCTTCTTCCTGGTAGATCTTCCTTCCTCACCTGTTTCTCTGACACTCCGTTTGTACTTAGGAGAGTTTACCAAGGAAATTTCTAGTATCTCTTGTGAAACATTAAATGATCCATTTTCTTGGAAGAGTTAGTGAAATCTTATTTATAAGCAGGAATCTCATTACAAAGCACTATACTGAAGACCTTTTACGAGAAGCGTGGTTGTTACTTCTATGTGGTAGAGAGTTCTGAACCCTTACTCATTTGTTTTCCAAGAATTTTTATTTAAGACGAGGGTTAAAAAATTGTTTTTTTAGATTTTGTCCCTCGATGTATGACCAGATCACTTTTGTTTAAGCCTCTTAATTTCCTCTTCTATAATATCAATATAATGCTACCTGCCACATCAACATTCTATCACCGAATTTTGATAGAATGTTTGCTGCCTAAAAATTGTGCTTTGGTAGGTTAGTTTCCAAATTTTAGAATAGTGCTTGAATGCTGGACAAAATGTGTTTCTATACTTGAACGTGGTTTTTTTTTTTTGTGTGTGTGTGTTCCTTCTTTGTGAAGAGAGAATTTACGAAAGATGATTTGATCTATAGATAGACTGTCTGCCAGATGCCTCAGGAAAATTTTTCCCCTCTTAAAACCTTATGTAAGGCATTATGCTTACAGAATATCCTGAGAGTTCCTATGATTCATTTGACTTGTTGACATCAGTATTTTATAAGTTCCTTTGAAGTTTTAAATTAAAACAACTTGATGAAAGATTTGAATCACTTTAGCCAGCATTCTTTATATAATTTATCATTTATTGTTGGGACTTTTGCCAGTGTGAGTTCTATCAGGCAACTATTATATTCATTAAATAGCTAAAAGAAGTTTTTTTGTTTTTTTTTTTACATTTAATTTTTATTTTATTTTTTCTTAATTACATGTAAGCAAAAAAAATTAACACTCATTTTAAAAAAATTTGAATTTCATATTCTTCTCTCCTTTAGAAGTCAAGCAGTTTTATATAGATTATACAAGTACAGTCATACAAAAACATTTCAGTATCAGCCACATTGCAAAAGAAAATGTATACCGAAGAAAACCAAGAGTAATAAAGAAAATAAAAATCTACATTCAGACCTGATCTGTTCTTTCTATGGAGGTGGATAGCATTTTTCATCTTAAGTACTTTGGAATTCTCTTGGATCATTGTATTGCTGAGAACAGTTGTCGCTTACAGTTGGTTATCGTACAGTATTGCTGTTATATACAGTGTTCTTGGGTTCTGCTCATTTCACTTTGCATCAGTTCATGTAAGGCTTCCTAGGTTTTTCTGAAAGCATTCTTCTCTGATTTCTTACAGCACAATAGCATTCCATTACCATTATATACCACAATTATATGTTCAGCCATTCTCCAATTGATGGGTATCCTCTCTACTTCCAATTCTTTGTCACCACAAAAAAGAGCTGCTCTGAATATTTTTGTACATATAGGTCCTTCTTCTTCTTCTTCTTCTTTGATCGCTTTGGGATTTAGACCTAGTAGTAGTAGTATTGCTGGTCAAGCGGTATGTATTCTTATCCCTTTGGGTATAGTTCCAAATTGCTCTTCAGCTTGGTTGTAGTTCACAACTCCACCAACAGTGTATTCATGTCTCAGTTTTTCCACATCCCCTCCAACATTTGTCGTTTTTCTTTTCTGTCATATTGGCCAATTTGATAGATGTGGAGTGGTACCTCAATGTTGTTTTAACTTGCATTTCTCTATTCAATAGTGATCAGAGCATTTCTTTATATGACTATAGATAACTTTGATTTCTTCATCTGAAAACTGCCTGTTCATATGCTTTGACCATTGCTCAATTGGGGACTGACTTGTACTCTTATATTTTTGACTCATTTCTCTATATATTTGAGAGATGAGGCCTTTAGCAGAGACACTTGATAAATTTTTTCCCCCAGTGTCCTACTTTCCTTCTCATCTTGGCTGTGTTGGTTTTGTTTGTGCAAAAAATTCCTTTTTTAGTATAACATAATCAAAATTATCCACTTTATATCCTATAATGCTTTCTATCTCATTTGGTCATAATTTTTTCCCTTAGACATAAATCTGAGTATTGCACGCTCCCCTGATTTGCTTATGATTTCACCCTTTATGTCTAAATTATATATCCATTTTGATTGTGTTGGACTATACCTAGTTTCTGCCGAGCTGCTTTCCAGTTTTCCCAGCAGTTTTTGTCAAATAACGACTTTTTGTCACAAAATCTTGGATCTTTGGGTTTGTCAGACACTAGATTGCTATGGTTTTTTAACACTATGTATTGTGTACCTAATCTATTCCACTGATCCACCACTCTGCTTCTTAGTACCATATTGTTTTGATGATTGCCACTTTGTAATACAGTTTGAGATCTGGTACTGCTAGGCAACCTTCCTTCACAGGTTTTTATTTTTTTCCATTGACTCCCTTGATATTCTTGACCTTTTGTTCTTCCAGATGAATTTTGTTACTGTGTTTTCTAGCTCTGTAAAATAATTTTTTGATGATTTGATTGGTATGGCATGGGATGAGTAAATTAATTTAGGTAGAATTGTCATTTTTATTATATTGGCTTGGCCTAACAATGAGCAATTAATATTTCTCCAGATCTTTCGATCTGACTTTGTGTGAAAAGTATTTTATAATTGTATTTATATAGTTCCTGCATTTGTCTTGGGAGGTAGACTCCCAAGTATTTTATATTGTCTCTAGTTATTTAATATAGAATTTCTCTTTCTTGCTGCTGAACTTTGTTGGTAATATATAGAAATGCTGATGATTTATGTTAGTTTATTTTGTATGCTTCGGCTTTGCTGAAGTTGTTAATTATTTCAACTAGATTTTTAGTTGATTCTCTAAGCATACTATCATATCATCTGCAAAGAGTGATAGTTTTGTTTCCTCATTGCCTAGTTTAATTCCTTCAATTTCTTTTTCTTATTGTTATCGCTAGCATTTGTAGAACAATATTGAATAGTAGTGATGATAATGGGCATTATCGTTTCACTCCTGATCTTATTGGAAAGGCTTCTAACTTAACCCCGTTACAGATAATACTTGCTGATGATTTTAGATAGATACTACTTATTTTAAGAAAAGTTCCATTTATTTCTCTGCTTTCTAGAGTTTTTAATAGGAATGGTTGTGGTATTTTGCCAAAAGCTTTTTCTGCATCTACTGAAATGATCATATGATTTTTGTTGTTTTTGTTATTGATATGATCAATTATGCTGATAGTTTTCCTGATATTGAACCAGCCCTACATTCCTGGTATAAACCCTACCTGGTCAGAGTGTATGATCTTTGTGATGTATTGCCATAATCTCCTTGCAAGTATTTTATTTAGGATTTTTGCCTCAGTATTCATTAGGGAAATTGGTTTATGGTTTTCTTTTTCTGTTTTTTGCTCTTCTTGGTTTAGGTATCAGCGCCATATTAAATTAAAGATGTAAAACGGGTCATTAAGGGAATTCTGTTAGCCAACAATTTGTGTTCAGCTCAATCTCTGTTAACTCTCATATCAGGGATTTGACACACGCTGCCTTACATTGCCATAAACAATATTATTTAGCAGTAATGTCATTAATACTCATCAAATCAAATGCCCCTTCAATATCTTTTGAGCAATTCTTTATGTATAACTTTGTCCCTGTGTGAAACTGTCCTCCATTCTATTATTTTGTCTCACACAGAGTTTTCATAAACCAGTTAATAGCTTCGAGCTTAGTGGTGATAGGAGGACAAGTCAGACAGTTAAAGAAGAAGCAATAGTTAATAGCAACTAATGAAATGTCCCTAAATTATCGTTTTCATTAATGGGTGCTTTTGGGTGCTATTAGATATAGAAGCACCCTCCTAATTACCAAAGGAGTATTAAATAATTTTAACGTAGCTTTATTTCTAATTTTTTTTCTAAGATACTCAGATTCTCAGATACTAAGATTCTCAGAAATATGTTATTCTTGTATAGTATAATAGAAATTTTTTTTTTAGTCAAAAATCTGGATTAAACAGAACAGTTTAGCAGTTTCTGCCCATACCAGTAACACTGGGTTTGCCTTATTACGCTATACTAGATCTTTGCAAAACTGGTAATTTACAGAATACTAAACATATGGAAAAATTAGTTGTGTGCAAATGCATTTTTTGTAGGTATGGGGAAAGGCTTCGTAGTTGTGACAGTTTAAGGAAGAGCTGGATTTTTACTAATTTAACATGAAGGGGGGCAGCTAGGTGGCCCAGTGGATAGAGCACCGGCCCTGAAGTCAGGAGGACCTCAGTTCAAATCCGGCCTCGGACCAAACACTTGACACTTAGTAGCTGTGTGACCCTGGGCAAGTCACTTAACCCCAACTGCCTAAAAAAAAAAAATGAACATGAATCCATAGTATTTCATCCTGTAAGAACATGAGTCTTTTCCCCCATGCTTCTGTTAAAGAAACTGGGGCCTTCACATACTTCTTTTTCTAAGTATTCTTAACATGTCATTTCACAGATGACTTGATTGTGAGAAAAAAAAATGCATTTTCCTGATCAGATTCCTTGCTTTGATTTTAGCTTCTGCTGAACCTGTGGAGACTTCACGTTGGACAGAAGAAGAGATGGAAGTTGCTAAAAAAGGTAAAGCTAGTCATGGTTGGGGTCTGCTTCTTGGTAGTGAGTCAGTATGAGAGGTTTGTTGGAGGGCACTGTAAGTGAATTCTTGACAGAAAAAACCTTTTTTGATGAGTTCAGTTTCTTTTTCAGTGTATCCTTGTAGCATCCATTCTCAGGGGGCTATTGCGCAACGGGGACAATTGTATAGCATTCCCATGGACAGTTTTTCAAAGAATCTTACAGTTTGGCAGGGGAGTCAGTGGCAGGAAAGAGCTGCTCCGTGCTGCTATGGATGAGGCCTCTAATTCTGACCTTTGCCAGCTGTCCTGCTTGTGGGAAGTGAATCTCCTGGCTTCCCTTTACTCACTTGTGCTCTTCTTTCCTTCTTTAGAAATGGGGGTTGCTTGAAACCTCCTACAAGCACTGGATATCATTCTAATCACATTTTCCTGGCCTATATTATAAATATCGAAGAATGTGAAATAGCACTAAAGTCATTAGCAATTTAACTAATGCTATTTGACTTTACAGAAACTCTTTGAGAGATGTTAACAAGAAATTTTGTATTGCGTTGATGTTTCTTTTGCATTTATATATAGAGAAGTTAGAAGTAACATGACCTTTCAATGAATGATCTTTTAAATTCCTTTTCATTTGAGCATATGTCTATTGATGCCTTTAAAAATTATAGAAAAACCAGCTACACTAAAAATAAAGCATTTAAAAGCATTTTTGGCTGAAAGTCTTTTTATTTGAATGGATATATGTGTGGGTATGTATGTACACACCCAACCATATTCACCTCTTATATCCTTCATGGCAGTTGGATTCTGATACTACAGAATTAGGGGATTCAAATGGCCTTGGGTTCTCCAAGGTGATACCAACAGGTCTTCCAAAGTTGGTGGAGTTTTTGAGCCCCAGGCCTTTCACCATGCCCTGAATTTGCCATTCAAGGAGTGGCCTGGCTGTATTCAGAAAGGCTGCTTGCTGTAGGGTTGACCACCAGAGATGGATTTTTGTCAACCAAAGCAATTCATAGAGGCCATCTACAAAGTTGTATAGGGTTTATGCATTCTACCGACAAAATCAGAAGAGTGAATAACTTCATTTTTGTAGCAGTTTCCATTTTATAAATGAAGAAATGAAGATAGATTAATAAGTTCCTTCGTCAGTGGTACACAATTAGTAGATAGTCATCTACCCTTGTCTCTGACGTAGGAAGCCATCTTGTGTGACTGCCCACCACCTTTTACCTTAGCTTTTTATATGTCAGTCTATTCCAGTTTTGGACAGGAACCACTTATTTACTACTGAGCAACCTACTTGTCTTAACGTAGGACAATCCATTTGAGCATCTTCTGTGTATAAGACACTGAGAATACAAAGATAGTTCTGACACATGCCCTACTCTTAGTGTCTAATGGGGGAAGGGAGAAGACCTACACACCCCTATGACTTTGGTCTGTGGGAGAGTGTAACAAGGTCAAAGACAAGTCCACACAAAGTGTTGGAGGAATTTGAAGAGGTTGAAAAGGTTTCTTTTTGTCCAGGTCCATGATCAGGGAAGACTTTGTGGAAGAGCCTATACCTGAATTGGCACTTGAAGTACTGAGCACATTTCAGCAGACAAATTATTATTTGTGGGGTTATGAGTCATCAGTTCCAGGTACAGAAAACATTGGGAGCAAGTGCAGAAAGATGGGGGAAGGACAGAACAGAAACTAAGGATGAATCGTACTCCAGTTTGGCTAGAATGTAAAGTACATGAAGAACATGATAGTATGAATGAGGCCGGAAAGGTAGGCTGGAGCCAGATTGTGGAGACCTCCAGATGCAAGGTGAAGGAGTTCATATTTTTCCCAGGAGGCATTCAGGCACCACAGAAGATGTTTGATGTTCATAACAGAACATCAGGAAGATGGACCAAGCAACAGTTTAAAGGATGGAAGACTAGTGAGGATGTTAATATAATGTCTAGGTTCGAGTAGACAAGAGTTGAAGCAAAGATCCATTGTAGTGAGGAGGAGAAAAGCAAGAAAGTGCAAAGGCTGGCTGGGGTTTTAGAAACCTGTCTGACAAGATTGTGGAAAGTGAGGAATAGGAAGTCATCAAGGGTGATTCTGGAGCTTTGAGCTTAGTGGTGGTAGGAGGACAAGTCAGACAGTTAAAGAAGAAGCAAGGTGAAGAGGAGGAAGGAGCTGTGAAAGTTAATTATGAACACTCGTAACTCAGCCGCCAAGTTTAAGCATTCCACTAGAGGTAGCCTGTGAACATAATCAGCAGGCAATTGGGAATTGAGAACTCTAGGGAGTGGCTAAGGGTACGGCTTTGGGAGTCATTTACAGAAAGATGTTCATGGAAGCTATGGAGAAGAGTGGATAAGATTGCCAACGTAGAGAATCCAGGGAGAGGAGAGAAATGAGCTTTGATGGCTATGCACATTTCAGTTATCCGCTACTTTTCAGGAGCTCAGAATCCCATTGGCCTCTTCCAGTTTACTGGTCTCACCTAAACAGATTGTTCAGCTGTTCCCCAGCCCACACAGGGAAAAAAAAAAAGGACCGGTGGCATCCAGATTTAAATACTTACATCCCATCCCCCACGTGGTGGTTACTGAGAGTACACGCGTTAAAGGGAAGGACAGATGTGAACAGTGCAGAAAATCCAACCTCTACCCAAAAATCATTCCCTCTGAACTGTAGAAAAATCATCATCCAAGCTTTGTTTGAAGCCCTCTGGTTGGGGGCCATCCATGACTTTTCGAGGCAGCCAGTCCAGCCTGGCTTGGTTTCGTGGCATCTTTCATACACTGCTTCTCGTCCCTTTTCTCAGGCAGGAGGAGCCTTTCAGAGACTTAAGGCCTAGAGTCTTCCCCAGACTACACCTTCCTGTAGGATTGGTTGGGCAAAAGAGCTAGAGGGAAGGCATTTGAGGAGAGGACACTTTGGTGTCCTTGTGAGGCAGATGATTTTTGTTTTTAATGGCGAAGGAATTCAGTGTAGAGAAGACCAAAGTAGAATACCTTGGGGTGGGGGAAGGGAGGAGCAGGAATGCCTTTAGGAAGCTCAAGGCTTCTTTCATTGAATGAATAAAAGAAAGAACAAAAATATAACATTATCAGTCTCCCTGGACTTGGGGATGATCCATTAAAGAAAATAGGATATTTGTTCCTAAATCCAGGGTCTGATTTAATGTCCTAATCCTAATTTGGGTTCCTTTTTAAACTCTGAGTTTCCTTATGGGAAATATTTTTTAGTCAACAAGCTCTTGTAAGCGCCTTAGTACTTAGCCCTTGGAATATAAAGAAAGGCAAAAACCGTTGCCTGTTCTCAAGGAGCTCATAGTTTAATGGAGGAAAAGCATGCAAATAAATACAGACAGAAGATTTCTAGAGGATGAATTGTAGATTGTCAGTGGAGGGAAGGGGATCAGGAATCAGTGAGCTTCTGGCTGTATCAGTTTGTGCAGTCCCGAGTGGTGGCCCAGGCTTAGAGCAACTTGGTTCTTGGACTGTGGGTAGGAGCGGCAGCTTTCTAACATCCTGAAGGGTTTCCTCCCTAGACCTAGTTTTTCAGTAAGCTGGAAAGCTTGGGGGATATGTATGGGAAGTTTTTATTGGCTGCATACATCTGCTTGGTATTTCAATATTATCCTGTTGTACTGTGTATTAGTCATATAAGCCCCTTTTATCAAGCAGTGACACAGCATAGGTTTTAAGACTCTTCATCCTCTGTTTCACCATAAACTTGAGCTTCACAGTATTTATGTTTGAAAACTCATTAGCCATGCAAATACAATGGGAGCTGTGGTGTAAAGGGGTCATTTTACATTAATTTATACTTAGCTTTGAAATTTAAGGTTGGATCTGTTTTGGAAAGAGTCTCCACTGCTTGAAATAATAACAGCTTCCTGCGAAGACCCCTTTTACGACGTTCTGATCAACCACCCAGCACCTCCACCCATCATCCCTGGCAACATTCCTGACTTTGTGCTTTGTACACATAGCCAGCATAACCACCCCAGGCTTAGGCATTTCCTACAGAAGGTAGAGGTGGTAGGAAAAACCGGTAATTAGTATCATTATAAGCCTTTCTTCCCGTTGACCCCTCATCTCGTGGCAACACAAAAGAATCATGGTGGTCGTGTCAGCAGAATGGGTTGGAAACGAACCCTGTATCATGGGTGACACTGCTCCTGTAGGACGGCCTCTTATCGACAAGTCATGGGCTCCATGTGCCTTTCTTCTCCCTCTCTTTTACACAGGCTTAGTTGAACATGGTCGGAACTGGGCGGCGATCGCCAAAATGGTGGGGACAAAAAGCGAAGCTCAGTGTAAAAACTTTTACTTCAACTACAAAAGGCGCCATAATCTGGACAACCTCCTGCAGCAGCACAAGCAGAAGGTGAGGACGGGCAGCTCTCAGGGTGAAGGCCATGGCTTGTTCGGGCCAGGTGCATGCCTGTGCTAAAACGCTGCTTTGATCGTGGTTACCATATGCACTTAGTGGGTCGAGGCAAGGACAGCAGCATGGACTACAGGGCCACCTCAGCTTCTCTCTTAAGAGGGCCTCCACTGCCACAGCTTGTTGACTGGAAGATAGACGTCAGGGCGAGTTGTGATCTCATTCAGTTGTCTGTTGTGGGGAGAGGACATGGGACAGAACTGAACCTCAGAGAAAGGAGGAGTGACTCATGTGGTCACGATCCCATGGCCGGCAATTGTGAGAGCCGTGTTTTAAACCCCGGTCTCTTGAATCAGGTCCAGCATTGTTATCCCACTACCCTGGGAAGAATCAACTTTGCCCATATACGCATATACACATGTGTGTGTGCACGCGTGTGTGTGTCTTCAACAAATGCACCTCTCCTGTTTTTGCCTTCGTGGCCTCATAGAGTGGTGAACAACACAGTAAGCATTCAGCAAAGATGAGCTAAACTGAACTGAAACTAAAAATGCTTGTGCCATTGTGGGTGGGTTGATAGGGGTGTCTCCGTGAGTGTTTGTATGTATACTTGGTCATAATTGTCAGTACAGGAGGCAGCATGCTGAAGCACAGGGGAATTGGAGTCAAAAGTCCAGAGTTCAAATCCTGGCACTGCCATTTACTACCTCTGTGAATTTGGGCCTCAGTTTTCTCATCTGTAAAATGAAGGAGTTGTATTGGGTGGTCTGTGTGTCCCCTCCAACTCTTGATCTGTGATCATATGATGTGTGTGTGTGTGTGTGTGTGTGTGTGTGGGGTACACCTCTGTGGTGGTGGGAGTAGGGTATGTATTAGGGGCTGGAGAGCAGAGGAACATGAGTGGGTAAATTACTATTGTTTGCATGGATGTCTAATCTATATGTGCATCAATCAAGAAACTAGCATTTATTAAACACTTACTGTGTGCCTCATGCTGTTAACCTCTTTACATGTACATACATACATACATGCATGCATACAGGTTATGTCTGAGTACTGGGTATACATTTATACACATGGGTGGTGTTTGGGGGTAAACACATGTCTGAGTGGGCCTTTCTCCACTTAGGGGAGAGAGGGGCAGCAGGTGTTATATCTGTGTCTGTTACAGAGGGGGTGCCCAGGGGTATCTATGCTTAAAGACTCAGGTGTATCTGAAGGAACCATGGTTCTAGAGTTACAGACCAGCAGGGTCTTTGCTTTCATGTAAATGAGAAGAAGAGTTACTTGCTGCTCCAGCATCTTTCTCCTCATATATCAGAGCTAAAGCAGTCCTCATTAACACACTGTGGAAGAGAAATGCCTGCAGGTGCATGCAGAGGGGGATTCCTGGAATTCAGGTGTGTGCATTTATACAAAAGTAGTGTTGAAAAATGCTCCCAAGTGGACTTGTGATTAGTTGGGCCGAGACGGCCACGTGTCCCATTGCTCTGTGGCAGAGCTGACCATAGAGATTGGAAGCAGAAATGGGGCCTATTCAATAAAGGTAGATAAAGAAGTAGGTTAAGGGTTATTAGTAGCAGGAAATATTTCATAATGTGTGATTTCATCGCTGACTATTGCCTTCTCCCTGGGCAGCAAACACAGAGTACATTGTCTATCCCATTTTTAAAACCTTTCCAGCTTGGTATAATACCTGGAAAATCTGACAAGATTTCTGTCCCACAGTGCATTAAAATAGGAGGAATGCAGGAAAGCCAAAAATGAGATGCTGTCTATAAAAGACATCACCGGTGTTGGGGGAAAAAAGTTTATCTTTACTTTAATTTTTGCCCTATGCAAGAAAAGAGGAAGGACATTGACTTGCTTGTAAGAACACTTTGGATTACATTTTCATTTGGGCAGAATGCTGATAAATCTAAGAATAGAGGGCAGTGACTTTTGGTTGTGTTTCTGGGCTCTGGAGCATCATATACAAGAACCCTGCCTGCTTTGTGTTTTTAAATCTAGCATTTAGGTAGCGCTTTAAGGTTTGCAAATGCTTTACAATTATTAACTCATTTGGTCTTAACCCTGGGAAGTAGGTGCTGATATTAGCCCCATTTTACGGATGAGGAAGGTGAGGCAAGCAAAAGCCCAAGGTAACACAGAAGTGAGTGTCTGAGGCTAGATTTGATTAATATTCAGGCTTCCTGACTTCAGGCCCTGTGCTCTGTCTACTGCATCACTAGCTACCAGTTGTAACGCTTCATCAGAGTGATGTGTTAATGGCTTTATTTTTACAAAGTGCTTTCATTGCATCCTCACGACAGCTCCATGAGGTAGGTACTAAAAGCATATTTTCCGTCTTTGATGGACCAGGACATTGAAGCTTAGGAGAATTTGGTGCCTTGGCCATGGCCTCACAGCTTTGAAGTGCTTGAAGCCAGATTGGAATCCAGGTCTCTTCTGTCTCCATTTCTGATCTCCTTCCACTGCCATCAGTCATTTCAAATGTGCCATACTGTACACTGATTACACATGCCTTGTGTAGACCCTCATCTGGTGCTTATTATTTGTGCCTCTTAATACTGGTTCGGATAAGCAGTTCTGTTTCCTGCTTTTGTAGTCTTGCAGATCCTTAACTCACTTTATTTTTATTTAGTCTTCAAGAAGGCCCCGTGAGGAACGAGATGTATCCCAGTGTGAAAGCATCGCTTCTACTGTCTCTGCTCAGGAGGATGAAGATATTGAAGCTTCCAATGAAGAAGAAAATCCAGAAGACAGCGAAGGTAGCTGGAGATACCTGAACGTATGAGGGGTGGTTTTTGCTACTGTTGTTTCCAGAACTCCAAGTTTATTTAATTGGCTAAGTCATTTGGGAATAGCTTCATAAAGGAAATCGTTGTAATTGCATTTCCACAGCAAGAGGCCTTTCGTTGCTGCCATTGTGAATGCTGGGTGATTCTGAAAATTTTGCAGGGGCAATGTAGGAATGGTTCTCTTTGTAAAAATGCTTTGTCACTCTGATGTCAAGAAAATAAAAAGTTGGTGTCTGTGATAGCATTGATCTTTTCTATTTGCTAGATGATTTTTATCCCTCAACAGTGTCCTTTAGCAAGTATCAATGCAGCAGTAGTTCAGAGGAGGTTGAGCTCTTAAATTGGAAGCTCCGTGAGGGCAGGACTGTGTCTTCTTCGAACTTTCTACATCCTCTAGCTCCCTGCACACAGTAGCTACTTAATGATGAATTGAATCTGGAATACTCAGAAGATTTCATGGAAGGGATGTAGGGCTTGGCCTGGCCATGAAGAAGACAAGGAGATAGAAATGGAGGGAATAATACATTTGCCTTTGAGCATTTGAAGGACTGGCTCATGGAAGATGCAGTTCTTAGTGCAGGACTGTCTCAGGGACTGGGTTGAAATCACTGGCCACATTTTCAGGGAGGCTTTGCATTCCTACCTGGGGTGCACCATTAGTCTAAAGAAGCTTGAAGGTTCCTTCTGTCTTTGAGTCTGATTCTTATTTCCACGTTTAGCTTCTTGTAGGCCTCCCCATGTCCCTTCTGCACCCCTGTGCCAGTCACTGCCTGTTCCTTCATGTCGGTGCTCAGGAGATAACTGCCTTGTAGTCCTCATATTTCCTAGGAGGATGTCTTATCTCCTCAGCCTGCCATAGGTTTCTTCATCATGGGATCCCTAGCTTAGATTTCTTTCTTTCTTTTTCCTAAGCACTTGACACAGTGCCTTCAGTTATAATAATTGTTCAGTAGATACTTGATGACAACAGGTTGAGTTTGAGGCAACGTTCAAACAGAGGTATTGTATAGGCAGTTCAATATTTGAGACTAAAAGTTGAGGTTGGATACTGGTGCCTAAGATGTGTATTTGAGAAGCACCTTGGCATAGGGGCAATAAGAACGAAAGGCATCTCTGAAGGAGTCCATTTAGGGAAAGAAGAGTAGGCAGCGTAGCCTGTGGGAGGAAATTTCCCTCTCTTATTTGCTTCAGTCTGTTTGGACTCTTCTGGTCTCTCCCCCAGCCCTTTTTCTGTCTCAGAGCCTTCTTTTCTTTCTAACATTCTCCATTAATCAGCTCATCTATTCTCCAAGTGTCACCTCTCTTTCACGAATGGCTCACTGTTAATCATAATCCTATGGGTAACAACTCTTTATCAGCTACTTCTGGTAGGTATATAAAGATCAGTAAGACTTGGTTCTTAGCCTTCAGGAGCTTATATTCTAGCTAGATGAATGATACACACTCAGTACTATACAGTAAATCACAAATAAGTAGAGTGTGGAATAGACAGTAATATAACAAGATGCAGCAAAGAGATTGTACTTTCTCGTAATAACTAGAATATAGGGTTGAGCATGTTAGCTGATCCATGAGACGTACAAAATCCTGTGCAAGTTCTAAGAGGAACCCCCTTAGACCTCAGGGGGAGGGGGATGAACAGGTGTGTGTTACATCTCTTCTCTTGCCCTCCTCAGAGCATAATCCTTCCAACAGGCTTATTATGTCATCAAAATGTCATTTCCCTGCTCAGAAATCTGCGGTCATGTCCTGTCCAAAGCTACACGCCCACCTCCAACCATTTTCCTGCATCCCAGACTCTCCCAGCTCTATGCCCTCCTTCACTATGTTGTATCTGCCTAGAATCTCCTCCCTTTATAGAAATGCTGTCCTTCAAGACGCAAATTCCATTTTCTCTAGAAAGCATTCTCACACTGTCTCAGCAAAAAAGAAAAAAAGAAAGAGAAGGAAAAAAATTCTTTCATTTTTTTCTCTGTCCCAGTAGTACTTATTAATTTTCCTATAGCATTTACCATGTTTTTAGCACAGCACGGTGTTGGCACATAGAAGGTACTTAATAAACATTTATCGATCAAATTAATGTTTTCCTTTGTATTATGGTTGTTTCTGTATGAATCTTTTCTCCCATAATAGCGTGTCTTGTTATACTTTGGAGACTTAGCAACTTCTGGCATAGACATTTACACATAGCTCCTTCTAGGCTTTGCATCCACTAGTAAAGTACCATGAGACTTGAATGTCAAGTCAGGCCCTGACCTTTTCATCATGGTGTAAGGTAGCTTCTTTGGAACAGAGATTTTCCTTGTTTGGATGTTGTAGTCCTTTCTTAAGCTAATGCTCAATACTTTAGAAAAATGTCATTTGAATTAGGGTCAGTGGAGCAGGAGAGCCAGCATGGAGCAAGAAGGACCTTGACACCACTTGTGCCTCTGGCGTTTTGACCAGGAACCTTCATGCCTTCATGCTCCTTGACATTTCTCAAAGACTGAATATCAGAAAAAGGAGTGTCTACTTTGTGAAATTCCCCACACCAACAAGATCACAGGTTCAGGTGAAAAAAAAAATCTGAAATTATTACAGTAAACAAGAGACTAGAACTCATTCCTTGAAGTCCATGTTACAATATTTTTTTTTCCTTTTATGAAGTTTCATTTTCATATGTATTTTTCTAATATGCATCAGTATTTAGAAAGGCGATCCTAATTTGAAGTGGATGAAAACCATGGAATCCTTTTAAATTTTCAATGACAGCTTTTCAGAAAGATTGCAAAAGGATTTTTTTGGGAAAATTTCCTGTAGGGTAAAAGGGCTGTTTAATTATCGAGTATAAACTGCTAACTTTGAGTTCCATCCTTCACCCCTCCAAGCTAGTAAAAGGTTCTTTTTTCCAAATCGCTGCCAGTTAGACTGGACACTAGACCCTTGTTAATTCCTGAATGTGTGGACTCTATCCTTATCTTTCAGGTGCTGAAAATAGCTCTGATACAGAGAGTGCACCTTCTCCCTCCCCAGATGAAGGTGCCAAGCCAGGTGAGGACCCTGCTGAAAATGCCACTCCTGGGTTAGCCAGTGAGGCCCCAGCAGAACTGGAATCCACCACAGGTGACCCCACCGCATCACCCGCATCTGCCATTCCAAGTGCAAAGCCAGTAGCAGGACAGGAAGCTGTGGAAGCTCAGGTAAAAGAGGAAGTCAGTGAAGAACATGGGGAGCCCATGGAGACTGACCGTGAAAGCCACCCTGCTGATGCTCAGCCACTTGTTGGGGTCTCTGGGCAAACCAGAGCAGAACCTGCTGACACAGAGATGAGGCTGCCAGAGAGCGTTCAGGTGAAAGCAGAGAGTGAGGCCAAAGAAAGGGACTTGGAAAGACCCACAGAAAAGCCTGAGCCGGAGGATGTGAGCTTTGCCTTAGCCCAAACTTCCAGTGCCCTGAGGCCCGAGTCTCGATCTGACAATGACTCCAGTGCTACCTGTAGTGCAGATGAAGATGTGGATGGAGAACCTCCTGAGAGGCAGAGGTGAGAGAGGGCCTGCTAAGGGGGTGTTAGGGCCGGGCAGCCTCTCTGCTGGGCGTACAGAGAAGGTAGAGTGGATGGGGGTCTGCTGGATAACTGATCTTAGTTCCTGTCCAACAAGCATTTATTAAGTGCTTGTGAGGTATGAGGTGTTGTGCCCAAGGGCTGAGGTTACATGGACGGAATAAAAGAATTTCTGACCTTCACAGAGCTCGGTCATGGGGAGCAGGGAGGAGATGGGTTACATAATATATAATAATATGATATACTATTTCAGAGACAAATATTAGCACACTAGCTCGAGGAATGAGGAAGTACCAACAACTGGAGGTATTGGGGTCGGGGGTGGGGTAGGGGAAGCAGGCAGGCACAGATGTTAACGTAAGGTGAGCTTCGAATGAACTTGGACTCATAAGGAGGCGAAGGAGAGAAAGGAAGGGCTTGAGGCAGGGCAGCAGGAAATGGAATGCCAAGTTCTGGAAAACAGCAGAGCCACTATTTTGGCTGCCACTTCGAGGAGGGCGTGGAGGTGAAGGAATGAGCAATGAACCTGACAGAGTCGGGGCGGGGCAGATCAGAGAGAGGCTTCGAAGGCTGTTTGTCCTGGGGGCCATAGAGAACCCCTGAGGCCAGTTATGAAGGCCACGGATTTGGGTGGAGTGGGTGAAGCCCAGAGGCTGGGGTGGTCCTCCCGCTAGGAGGGCGATGAGGACAGGCTGTGTGAATGTGCAAAGGAGGAAGAGGTGTGGGAAGGAGCATCAATAGGGAAGGACTAGTGCCTGACTTCACAGTCGCTGGATGGGTGACAGCGTCTCAGTAGACACTGGCAGGACACTTGGGAACGGGCTGGGGGGAGGCAGTGGTGAGTTTGAGGTATGGTTAGACATGTCTAGTGGGCCGCTGGAACTGGAGCTCAGGAGTATGATGAGGGTAGGAGATAGAGGTCTGAGAGTCATCACCATAGAGATGGCAGCCAACCTTGTGTACAGAGATAAGAGAAAAAGCGTGGGTCCAAGCCTTGTAAACGTGCTTGTTTATAGGGTAGGACTTAGATGCGTTTCCTGTGAAGGAAACGTGATCAGATGGGATTCTTTCACAGGCCATCACCCCTGCACTGCTAACCTGCTCCAACCCCCCCCCCCCCCCCCCAAATCAATTCAGCTCTACATTTGTCCATTGCACTCAAATCCCTTCCTCCCCCCAACCTGATCCTGTCATGAGTCTTGCCTTGTCAAGCCCCAACCTTCCATTATACTTAGCACCTACCTCATTTGTTCATTCATTCCTATCTGTATGCTACTGAAGTGAGCTGGCAAAAATCCCCAAGCCATGCTTACTGAGTCCATCACTACTGCATGGTACAGAATCTTAACTGGGGCCTTCTTTCAGCTGCACATTTCTTTTACATTTCTCTAACTTTTCACTCTTACACTCATTTCAGCGGCTAATCTAAACCTTTTCTTCCCAACTGAAGCCTTCCAGAGCAACCCCTCTCACCTGCCCCCAGGGGCTGTTCAACTGAGGGCTTCCTCTCCTCCTCCTCTCACATCTCTGACATCTCTCCTTCTACCCTGTCTAACATGACAAGGGAACGCTTCTCCTTAACCTTCTAGTCCCACCCTTTCCTCTCTCCTCCACAAGATTGCCCTTCTACCTTCCCTACTCTCTTTTTAATCTTTACTGTCTCTCTCCTTGTTCTCGAGCCTCCGACCACACCGATGTCTGTTGTCTGTTTCCTCCCTGGATCCTACCCTGCTAGCCCTTGGTCAGTCTCTGCCCCTTCTGGGCTAAACTCTGGAGAAAGCTGGCCACCAGAAGAGCGTCCACTTCCTTTCCTCTGACTTACTCCTAAACCTTCTGTCACTTGACTCCCAACTTCCCCATTCATCCAAAATTGCCCACTGAAGTTACCAGTCTCTCAGTTTCCAAATCCGGTGACCTTTTCTCGGATCCTGCCCTTGACCTCTCCTGTTGCCTTTGACACCCACATCACAGCTACTGCTTTCTGTTTGCATCAAGTTTCTTCTCACTTGACTCCATCCCTTCCGCAACTGCACAAGTCTGGCCATGTCACTCAGTAAACTTCAGTGGCTTTCTAATATTTCCTGCTCAGATATAAAAGCACTGTTTGGGATTTATAGTCTTTCATAACTTAGCCCCTTCGTGCATTCTCAGGCCCCTAATCATCAGTCCAGGTAATCCAGGTAAACTCTTCTTGCCCTTCCTCACACACTGCCCTCGTCTCCACTTGCTTCCTTCTCACTGGCTGACTTCATGCGTGGTTTGTTCTTCCTCCTCACCTCTGCCCTGACTTCTCTGGCTTCTTTTAAGACTGGGATCATATCCTAAGTTCAGCAAGAGACTTTCCCAACCCTTCTTTTCTTCCCTTCTCCACTTTTAGCAGCTTTGCTCTGAGATGACTTTCCATTTACCCAGAATTTATCTTATGTATGCATAGTTATTTGCATGTTTTCTCTCATTCTAATGTGAGCTTCTTGAAGGCAGGAACCGTATTTCTGCCCTTGTACTCCAGCATTTAGCACAGCATATAGCATATAATAAGTGCCTAATAAGTATGTGCTGACTTACTGAGTGACTAGGAGGAGAACCAGGAGAGAAGAGTGTGAGAAAAATTAAAGAATGAGAAGGTCTGATCAAATGTTTCAGAGGAATCAAGAAGGGATAGGGACTTAGAAAAGTCCTTCAGATTTTACAATTAAGAGGCTGTTGTTTAGCTAAATGATTAGGTCAGGAGCTAAACTGCAAAGGATTTAGAAGTCAGGGAGAAAATGTGGAGGCTGCAGGTTTTCTCTCTCTCTTTTTTTTTCAAGTTAGGAGAGATATAGGATAATAAGTTGATTCTAGGGACAGTTGAAGGTCTTTTAAGGCTGGTAAAGCCAGAAATGGTCATAAGCTTCAGAGGAAATCTTATTGATTAAGAAGACATTACATTTTGGAGGGAGAGAGAGGAGTGGATGAAAGAGCGAGGCCCTGGAGGAGATAGGAGAGAGCTAAGGGCTGAGTAAAGGCATTGATACAAGCTCATCTTTAAAGAAGAGCTTAGGTGGCGCAGTGGATAGAGCTCCAGCCTTGGAGTCAGGAGAACCTGAGTTCAAATCCAGCCTCAGACACTTGACACTTACTAGTTGTGTGACCCTGGGCAAGTCACTTAACCAGAAAGCAAAAGAAGAAGAAGAAGAAGAGCTTGGTTTGTGCAGCAGACCGAAGTGGGGAGGAACCACCCTGATAGGCTGTGAAATACAGGGATGGAAGCAATCTGAGGAGAGAAGGTGTGGGCATGCCTGTTAGGGAAGAACGAAAGGATTGGTTTGCTATGGTGACGAACCAGTTGAGAGAAGGTAACCAGCGGAGAGTTGCTACGGTCCTGTAACTTCCAGCAGGGGTGTTTGGCAACAAGGCAGTGCTAATCAAAAAGGCAAGACTGTGAGAGCTTGTGAGGCACAAGTGCACTGAGCACTAGAGAATAGAGTTAAAATAGCTGTAGGCCAAGATTGCCAAGTGGAAATGGAGCTGTACTAGCATAGTTGAATAGATTTAGGAGCAAGTGGACAAAGGGGGAATTGCAAAAAGAACAGTTTAATTACCTTGAGGTGATTAAACATTGTACTATAACAGTGTTTAAAATGGTGCTTATAAGTTGAAATTAATTTAATATGGAAGTAATCTTTAGGGATTCAAGAATTCCTTTTAACAATTTGGCTTTTTCTTATTTTAATTTAAAAAAAATTATTCCACGTTTCTTAAAAATATGTATATTCACTTGTCCTTTAATGATATGACGTTACACTCTCAATATACTTTTTAGAACCTGAATCACCCTCGTAGTTAACGCCTATTTATATAATATTGAAAAGAAGAAATTTTGATGGAAAATATAGTCTTAACTATTTAAAAGTCTGTGTTTGTATACTGTTGTACATGATTATTGTCACCTTTTTTATCATTCCGAATTTCTCTAACACACTGTAAATGAAAATTGTCTTGGTTACTTTCTTTTCTAAAATCCCCAGTAACTCTGACAGATATGTGCTTGGGTCTGGTCATGGGCATGAGCTAGATCACTGATATCCCCCAGGTCACCCTTCAGTGATGAAGCTGCACTGCAGACCCATACCTAGATTTCCAGGCTGTCTCGTCATTACACCAGACAGTGGTGTTTGCTTCTCAACCCCTTTTGTGTAAATTTAGGATAAGTCCAAATAACTTTCTGTAAAAGAGGAAGCACCAATGTATAATAATGTCGTAAGACCCATCTTTTAATTAACTCGCAGGTAAATTGTATAGATTAATATGAATATAAGGGAAATAGCTGTAAGCTTTTCTTTAATGAGAATAAACCTTTCCAAACTTTTCCTCTGCTCTTTATTTCTGATTCCAGAATGTTTTCTATGGATTCAAAGCCTTCACTGTTAAACCCTTCTGGATCTGTGTTAGTCTCTTCTCCCATAAAACCAGCTGCAATGGACCTCCAGCAGCTTCACCATCGAGCAGCTGTCATACCACCAATGGTAAGTCCTCAGTGCTGTCTAGCTCTGGTTTGAAGTAGATTATATTAAATTTCCATTTCTTATTTGAAGGACTTTAATTGTAGTGAGAAAGGAAAACCCATTCTAGAATGTCTTCTTCTTTCATTCCCATAGGTTTTGTGTTTTCTTGTTGTGTGGTTATGGGTCAAGGGGCGTTGCAGTGTACAGTGTCAAGGTGTCAGAGTGGCAGAAACTCTTTAACAGGTAGAGGAAGAATGACAGAATTCTGTCCTCATTGTGACATACCCGCAGGTAGTCATATAGCTTCTACTCGAAGGCTTCCATTGAGGGGGAACCTACTCTCTCCCTCCAGATTTTTTCCCTCTTGGGCCATGCAGAGCAAATGTAATGGCTCTTCTTACATGAAAGCCCTTCAGATAGTTGCAAATAGCTATCGTGTAATCCTTGGTGAAACCTGTCTGCAGGTCAGCATTCCCAGCCTCCCCGCCCCTACCTGGGGACCCTCAGAGGAGAAGAACCCTGCCCTTCACACTTCTCTCCCTTAACCTCTGGATGTGACTTTGTGAGCAATTCTTAACGTGATCTTTTTTAGTGTGTTGCTTCTTCATGGGGATGGCCTTTGATATTTATTATATCATCTTTTACGGGTTCAGCCCTTGTCCAAATGTCAGATATCAAAAGGAAGAGACTTATTAGAGCAAAAATTTCCATATTCTTCAGCTCCATTTGGTAGACACAGTATTTTCCAGTCTTTAGTATTTATTTTTGAAGGTAGTATTTAGTATTAATTTTTTTTTTATCCTTGTCAAAATTCAAGTTTTTGGTTTTGCCTTTTTTTAAAGCAATAATTTGGGGACATTGCTCTGAGTAGTGATTCACAAAATTCTGCCACCTACTCCACGGGGTGGAGATTGTGCCCCATTTGTACCACATTGGTCACTTGAAGGAGACTCCTTAGCCCATTTTCCCCATTCTCATTGCAGGTCTCCTGTGCCCCCTGTAATGTGCCCGTCGGTGCCCCTGTAAGCGGCTATGCTCTTTTTCAGAGGCACATTAAAGCCATGCATGAGTCGGCTCTCCTGGAGGAGCGGCAGAGGCAAGAACAACTTGATCCAGAGTGTCGACGTTCTTCAAGTCCAAACGTTGAATGGGAAGGTAGGTTTGACGCACCAGGGACATAGCGCACGCTCCACTCCCCCCCAGGAAGTTCAACCACAGAAGGAGTCAAAACAGGCTTTGTGGATGGTAGCCCCAAAATTACACTCTAGGTGTTTCATGAACCATCATTAAAAACCAATGAGGGGGTGCAGCTAAGTGGCGCAGCAGATAGAGCACTGGCCCTGAGTCAGGAGGACCTGAGTTCAAATCCAGCCTCAGACCAGACCCTTGACACTTACTAGCTGTGTGACCTTGGGCAAGTGACTTAACCCCAATTGCCTGGGGAAAAAAACAAAACAAAACAGTGGGTTATTACTCCATCTTGATGGACAAATAAGAGTCCTAGAATTGAACCTAAAAACTTTCACCTAGGAAAAAATTATTAGTATTTTCTATTCCTTAAATTGAAATTTAAAAATTACTTTTTTAAAGGAAGTTATATCCACTAAAAAATGAGATGATATTTTCGTAATGTTAAGTCATGTCTAATTCTTCATTTGAATCTTTTGAGTGTTTTACCAAAACTATGCCTATAGCCTCTAATTCTTCTAAATTACAAAAGCAAATGAGGATTCAATATCTAACATCCAGAATAAAAATAGTTTGCGATCCACAATATTTACATCTGATTTAAGTGATTTGAGTTTGTGCACAACCCCAGAATCAGGTTTCATGTTTTTGAAAGAAGCCCCATCTCCTACATTTACTCTTCGTGGCAAAACCAAAGCCGTCATATGATTCTGCATTGAATCAGGAATGAAATATTAGATCTGCTGATGAGACCTGGTTCTTGGTCATTGTACATGTCCTTTGAGCATCACATAGTTTGGTAGGATAGGATATTAGAAAATCTATGTTGAGCAGTTTCCTTTTTATCTGGATGATTCACAAGCCCCTTGGGAAGGTTTTATGGATGTAAGTAAAAGCTGTCAGCTTTGGAATGACAGACTTGTGAAAAGCTCTGTAATGCAAAATGGTATTTCTAGTACTTAGCCACCCTGCTTTTTCCTTCCTGTAAATAATAAGAATGGATGTCTTGCCAAAATTTGTTATAGTAAAGTGCCAAAAAGCAATTATATTTTGGGTTGTGTGCATAGGCCTTCTCAAGCCTATCTCTTCCTCATTTTGAAATGAGGGAGAAACAAGCCAGGGGGAGTGGGTCGATGGCGTCTTTTCTATCCAAGATCTATTTTCCAATTGAAAATGTCCCCATCTTGTAGGATTTGAGGATGTTGTCATTTGAGATCATTTTGACTATGTTGCATTTTCCTGATTTAAGACACATATATTGTCCTTATTAATAGAGCATTCCAACTAGAAGAATGCCTTTTTTTCCCATTTTTAAAAAATTGATTTATTTACTTTTTAGTTTTCAACATTCACTTCCATAAGCTTTTGGGTTTTAAATTTTCTCTCCCTCTCTCCCCAAAACAGCGTGCAATCTGACATAGGCTCCACATAGACACTCCTATTGAACACATTTCACATTAGTCCTGTTGTGAAGAAGAACTGGAGCCAATGGGAGGGGCCACGAGAAAGAGGAAACAAAACAAAATAGACGAAAAAAAAGAACAGACAGTCTGCTTCCGTCTGCATTCAGACTCCCTAGCTCTCTCTCTGGGTGTGGGCGGCATTTACCATCATGAGGCCTTTGGAGATGCCTAAGGTCCCTGCATTGCTGAGAAGGGTCAAATCTATCAGCGTTAGTCAGTCATTGCATAACGTGGCTGTTCTCGTGTACAGCCTTCTCCCGGTTCTGCTCACTTCACTCAGCATCAGTCCGTACGAGTCTTTCCAGGTTTAAGAATGCCTATTAATAAAGATTTTATTGAACTGAAATCTATGATTTGATGGTCATTGTTTCCTGCATAATAGACACGAAGAAGGAGCAAACAGGAAATTGAGTTTGTAAACTTATTACTTTTAAGTGGTTTAGGATAAATTGTGGAAACCTCTTAGTAAATTTATCATCCAAAATTGTTACACACATGGGACTCATAAAATTCTCCTTTATGTGTTAAAAAGCATTTTGCATGTGATTGAAATTTACTAGTAAAAAATAAGGACCACCTTCTGTGTGAGGAAGAAGATCTGAGACACCTCAGAGAAGTTTGGGCCCCCACCATTTTCTTTTGTCTGTTTTTTTTTTCCCCCAAACAAATATTCTTGATTGAATCTTGAGGCTGGATCTGAATGGTATGCCCAATTCAAGCAGAAACCAAAAGCTGTGAGTTTAAGAAGTGTAAATTCTATTTCAGCTGCTCAGTAATCCCCATGCATGTGGGGCTGTTTTGGCTGATAGTGGAATTTTCATGATTCTGCCATTGGTGTTAGCCCCCTGATAGTAATCAGTGTGGTTTGGACTCCCCGCAGGCCTGAGCAGCCAACCCAGTGAACCAGGAAATTGTATCACAGCTCAGTGCATTCATCCGATATACTCCCCCAAATCTTTTGAGTCTGACTTATTTCCATTATATTCAGTTTATCAAAGGCAATCTAAAAATTTGTTTTTAAAATTACAGTGAAAACAGGCCATGTACATAAAATGTCAAAGGTAAATGACAAGTAATTATAATTAAGAAACCCAGGAAAATTATGACAAAACGACTCACCATAGAAAACAATATCAGCCAGCATTTCTCTGACCCTTTAAAGTTTACAAAGCGATTTGCACAGATTCTTATTTGATCTTTACAACCACCCTTGTGAGGGAGAGCCACACAAACGTTATTACCCTCGTTTACAGATGGAGGAGCTGATCTATTTCTGAGGGGTGAATGTTGTCTGCCAGAGGCCTCCTTCTATCCAGTAGGCCTCTGGCAGACAAGACCCAGTCCACCACTCACTTTCTACTGCAACATGATGTTCTTGTGCAATTAATTTTAATTATTTTAAAAGGTATAGTTCTTTAGGTTTGGGGGACTTGTTTTTCCCTATCTTCTTTGAAGTGGCTCACACACACACACACACACACACACACACGCATGTATATATGTATATATATATATACATACACACACACGCATATATACACACACACACACACACACACGAACACAGTCACACATGAAATAAAGTAGTAGGAAGCATCAGGTTGTCAGGGCTAAGCTAAATTGCAATTGGAATTTCTTAAGTATCTGATCTATGTATTTTATGGTGTGATTTTCTCTTCAATTATCACATTAGATTTTTCCATAAATATCTAAGGCTGTTTCTGCTCAGTAGCCTAGGAATATGACTTCGCTTAGAGGATCTTTAAAAAAACATCTTTCTTGGGGGCAGCTAAGTAGTACAGTGGATAGAGCACTGGCCCTGGGTTCAGGAGGACCTGAGTTTAAATCTGCCCTCAGACACATAACACTTACTAGCTGTGTGACTGGGCAGGTCACTTAACCCCAATTGCCTCGCCAATAAATAAATGAATGAATGAATGAATGAATGAATGAATGAATGAAATTTTCGCTGGTTCACTTACACATGGCTACTCTAGCTCCAAGCTCTTTCCTGTGTTTTCTTTTCTACTATCATTCAATTCAAACAAATCAGGCACAGTCCGGTTCAGCTCCTCACTCAACCTGTGTCTAAAACTGGGATTTGTTAGGAGTAAAGGAGATTGGCATTCTGATTGCTTTTTAGCACTGGACACATGCTGATTTTTACAGCTAAGTAAGGACATTCTTTGTTTCCATCTTTAGAACAAAAAGAAAACCATGTTATTTCCAACTTGGCCTTTTCCATAATAAAATTAACTAAATTAACTATTTTAAACTTAATTGGTCCCATCCTAAAATTGGAGAGGATAAAATGGTAAAAAAGTAAATTTTTATGGATAATTCTCTGTAGTTAAGATGCAGGTTTCCATTGAAGTTTGTTTTTGTTAGAAGTCTCTTAAAAATAAACAGTAAATTCTGTGAAAGGTGTAAGTGACAATAGGTGCTTGTGTAGGTTGACTGACACTAAAATTTCTATAAGTTGAATTTTGCATTTAAACTGAAAAATATGAAAGAACTGGAAAGAAATCTCAGTTGGCACAAAATCTCTGCCAGCCTTCTGAACTTGAACCTATAGGCTGTTATGCCCTTGAAAACTTTTACATTTGGTTACATTTAAATATTCTGGTCTCAATTAGTTTCAGCTTCTGTTTTTAAAAGCCAGATGTTGATTTTGTTGGCTTAGCTCAGTCTATATCCAAGAGTTTATCTCTTTCATTATCTGAAGATACACTTAATTTAAATGATATAAAAGGCCCAAGGTTGACAGGTTGCCTTTGAGACAGTTGGAGCCTCCTGAGCCCTGCAGACCCAACACCTAAGGTACTTGGTGGCACGATGCTGGCATTGGTGCTGTAGTCTCGGTTCCTGATGTAATTGTAGCATTTGCAAATCTTGTTGGTATGCTAAAGTTTCCTTTACCATATGAAGAAAAGACAGCATTTTGGTTGGTTGTGAGGATTTTGTATTTTAGATAATTTGGAGAGTTTTGGTTTGGCTTTCCTTTTCCTGGTTTCCATCTTAGTGTGGATTTTTGTTGGGGGTCGGGTATTTAGAGGTTTTTAGGCTCTTGCTGCCATGGTTCACTTGTTAGACTAGCTGGACTGCCCCTACCCTGGATAATGTGGGCTAGGTCCTTAATATTTTAATTTGAGGTCCTTCCCTCATTTTGGTAACTTTAACTTTCTTAGGAAAATCAGTCGCCTTTCTGCCTCATGCTGAGGTCAAACGTGCAATAGGACAGGAAGCGCAGATGCAAAACCCCGCAGCAAGGTCAGCCTCACCGCATAGGCTCTCTCCAAGAGAAGTCAGTAAAGCATCTCCACAGCCCGATAGGAGTGCCGCTCGCTATAGTGTACCGCCAGGTAAATATCGCTTATGTGCGTAGAGGTTGCCAGCAATCTGCCTTCAGCTGTGAGATGTTAGTTATTCAGTAGAATCTAATGTTCCTTGACTTCTTCAATCTGCACTTCCAAGATGACGCCTTTCCTGTGTCAGCGTCTTGTTGTGAGTGGAGATACCAATGGGTTTGGTTTCCCTAGCTGTCTTCATGATGGCCACACAGCTTTTCCTTGAAGTTCTTGTGGACTTTATGAAATCCTAAGTTATTTCAGGAGGTTTTCCAGCATCTTAGTGGGAGTTAAAGTCAATTGCCTGTTTTCTATGTCAAGTAGGATATGAAGAGATGGAAATAGTTGTCCAAAGGGTAATTGAGGCTATTCCCAAAGGCATCCCTTTACTGTGACCTTAGTGGTGAAGTCCAGAGTAGTGATGGAGGCCTCAAAGATTGCTTCTGCTGCGCAGGGTCTGGAAGGAAAAGGAGATGTTTAATCAACAAAAACAATCTAGATTATGGGTTTGGCCTGTGTCATTGGAGACACGGTAGTTGTGCTTACAGAATCACGAGTCCCACCAGTGACCCAAATTCTGAAGGGAAAACAAGAACTCATCCGAAAGAAACGAGCTTAGGAAATAGGGAGCGTCATCCAGTGCTCCAGCTGCTAATCATATTTCACTTTGGGACCAAGGCTTGTTGCGGTTAATATGTTTTAGCAGACTAAGAAACTGATGTTGTTTGCAAACTTTTCTTTTTCTTTAAAAGTCCTCCAGCCTGCTCCACATCAAGTGATAACGAGTCTCCCTGACGCAGCCCGACTTCCAACGACCCGACCCACCAGGCCGCCGCCTCCGCTCATTCCTTCTTCCAAAACCACCATGGCCACTGAAAAACCATCGTTCATTATGGGGGGATCAATCTCACAGGTAAGTCTCTTGTTAGCCTAACTAACTTTCCTACTGAACACTACTTTTTTTTCTTTTTTAAGGTTTTTCTGTACTAGTTAATTACTCCTATTAAGTAGTAATTTCCCCAAGGACTCTCCAGAAACAGTCTAGAAAGTGGTATATATTTCTTGCCCTAGAGAGAACCCAGCATCAGGAGTGTCCCAGGGAACCTGCAGCGTCTAGGCCACATGTGGCCTCCTAGGTCCTTGGGTATGGCCTTTTCACTGAGTCCGGGTTTTACAGAACAAATCCTTTTATTAAGGGGATTTGGTCTGTGAAGTTTGGATTCAGTCAAAGGGCCACACTTGAGGACGTAGAGGCCACAGGTTCCCCATCCCTGGTAGGTTGTGACTTATCATTTATTCATTTAATAAACTTTGATTAAGTGCCTCCTGTTTTCATAGCACAATGCCAAAGCACTGGGAAGGTACAGGGTTTAAATCCAACACAGTCCCTTCTCTTAAAGAATTTATAACCTAGTGGAGGATTAAGATACAAACACAAATAAGCACAGTACACAATGTTATGGAGGAGGGGGTGGCTGTAAATAATGGGCATCAGAAAAGGCTTCGAGCAGGAGGGGCAGCGAGGTGGTGCAGTGGATAGAGCACTGGCCCTGGAGTCAGGAAGACCTGAGTTCAAATCCAGCCTCAGACCAGACACTTGATACTAGCTGTGTGACTCTAGGCAAGTCACTTAAACTCCAGTTGTCTTAAAAACAAATAAATAAAGGAAGAGCAGGAATCTGGGCCGAGAGGGAAGGAGGTGGGAAGACAAAGAGAACAAGGTCAGTAGGGTGCAGAGGTGAGGAGGACCACCCAGGGGGCATGGAGAGTTCTGAGAGGAGGCGAGAGTCCTGAGTTGGATGTTCCTGGAAGGCCCCCAGCTTGAGGGGTGGAGCCCCACAGGGCGGGCAGGCAGGCAGGGGGGAGCGGGGATCTGCTTCAGTGCTGAGAACCTCCAAATCGGTGCCGTTTCTGGGCTCTTCTCGGTGTTTAAGAGCAGAGTCCAGTGGGAGTCATTGTCTAAGACAGGGCTGGAAAAGGAAGGTGGCGCTGATCTTGGGAGTAGCTAAGATTGCTTCAGTGCTCACAGTGAGCAGAACACTGGCAGGCCTTGTCTGCCTTGACCCTCACAGAGGCTTGGGGGTTAAGGGGAGGTGAATAAGAGTGACATGACCAGATCTGTATTTGATATTTTTCTAGTATGTGAAAGATGAATCAGTGGGAGAGCACAGAAGTGGTAAAGCCTGTTAGCTAATAATAATAATGGATAATGTTTACATCGTGCTTAACTTTGTGCCAGGCTCTGTGTGAAGCACTTTACAATTATCTTCTTTGATCCTCATGACAACTCTAGGACATTGGTGCTATTATTAGCATGCCCATTTTGCAGATGAGGAAACTGAAGCAAACAGGTTAAATGACTTGCCCAGGGTCACACAACTAGTAAGTGTCTGGGTGCAGATTTGAACACAAGTCTTCCTGACATCAGGCTCGGTGCTCTGTCCACTGTAATACCTAGGTGCCCCCATTAGACCACTGATGCAGTGACCTAAGCCTGTGATATCAGTGCCTTGTACTTAGGGTTACAAACAGTGGGAACAGAGACGGGCGGGGTTTGGGGTAAGAGACATTGCAAAGATAGAATCACAGGACTCTGTAACAGATGGGATGTGAGAGCTGAGGAGGAGGAGAAGGAAAGAGTCAAAGATAGAACCCACAGGCTCCACAACACAAGACAGTAAATGGTGGGGCCACTGGCCAAAACACTGACAGCGGACGGAGGGACAAGTTTGGGGAGAGAGACTTTAGTTTGGTTTGGTTTGGGGTCTGCTGACTTTGGGTCCCCGGGAGAGAACCAGGGGAGACACACTGCTTCAGCTTCCTAAAGGAGAGAAGTTTCCATCAGTGCTGAGGACACTGAGGTTCATGGTGGTACAGATGTTTTAAAGTGTTTTTAGCGATTGGGATGCATGCTGGGAAATCTTATAAAGTGAGTGCTTTGGGCTAGATGACCTCTGCCATCTCTTCCAGCTCTGTGTCTTTGCCACCATAACTCCCACAGCATCAATGATGTATTGTTTATAGAACTAGAAAATAGTTCTTTTTACAACATGGCTGCCAAGTGTGTGAAGGAGAGGTGTCTCTTTTTTAAATCCTAGAGAAGGGAGTAATGACAACTTCTCCCTCATAGATTCTCAGAATTGTGGAGGACATAGCCTCAAGAACTCCCCTGAAAGAAATCTGTCTTTTAACTAGAAACCTGCACAGCAGCACCAAGCCTTCCTAGGTACCCTGGGAAACCAGCCTGCTCACTCGGTCTTTATCCTTTCAGGGAACCCCTGGCACCTATTTAACCTCTCATTGCCAACCTTCCTACACACCAGAGCCAGCCAAGCCTTCAGTTGGGTCTATATCTCTTGGATTGCCACGGCAACAGGAGCCGAGCAAGCCTGGTAAGGAGCTGAGGGCACCCACTTGGGCACACTGGCAAGAGCACCTCTGCCCTGCTGCTGGAGTCATGGCCTCCTTGTTTTCTTGTTTTGACCAGCCGCCTCCATGCCCTACATCAAGCAGGAGGAGTTTTCACCCCGTGGTCAAACCTCCCAGCCTGAGGGCTTGTTGGTCAGGGCCCAGCATGAAGGTGTTGTCAGAGGTAACACTTGTTGGGACAGGATGGGTGGAGAAGTGGAATTTTTTCAAAAAGATGAGAGAAGTTCTAGGGAAGTGAATAAATGAGGTCGGTTGGTGGTAATGTAGACCTTTCTGTTTGGTAGTCGATAAGCAGTGGCTTTCACTTCTCACTTCTGTTTTTATCTTAAACTTGGCTTTTTGGTAATGCTATATCCCTTTGTTATAAATACATACTGAATAACTCTCTTAAAATACTTGTTAAAAACCCATCGTGTCGTTTTCCCCATCTCCCCATAATTTTGGTAGCTTAGGGTTATTGATAATTGAATGATTTTACCTGAAAGGATATAATTTTGCCATTGATTTTATTTTGACCCAGGTACTACAGCAGCAATCCAAGAAGGAAGTATCACTCGAGGAACCCCAGCTAGCAAAGTTCCTGTGGAAAGCATCCCTTCCCTTCGGGGCTCTATCACTCAGGTAATTTTACCAGTTTCTAATTATCTGAAAGCTCTACATTGTTGAGGACTCCGAAGCTTTCTTTGTTTCAAAATAGAATTGATACAGCCAACTCTCATTGGGTTGGCTTTACAAGAAAACTGACTGTGGTCTGTCATCAGTCCCCTGATGGCAGAGTCATCACGCTTCTGAACGTTAGCAGGTGTATTCTGGAGGCAGAATGTCGCATCCTTAGAATACCTGCTAGGCCATTTGGACTAGAACAGAGTGGACATGAGGGGGATTAAGGGGAAGTAAGAGTGAAAAGGTGAATGGAAGCTAGATTGTGGAGGGCTGAAAAAATATTCATCGGTAAATAGTCACTGGAGATGTTTGAGAATGAGGGTATCCTGGTCAGCTCTGTGTTTGGCAGCTTTGAGGGGGATGTCTGGGTGAGGAGAGAAACTGAAGGTGATGAGATCAGTTGGAAGCCTAGTCTGGTGTCCAGGTGAGATGTGATATGGTCTGGAACCAGAGCAGAAGGTATAATGGGCTAGAAAGGCAAAGGTCCATATGAGGGCTATAGGGCGTACTCGGGTTTGACCCCTTATTCAGAGTGGGGCTCCAGGAAGAGGGGAAAGTCCGTAATGCCTCCCAGACAGACTGGCGGCACACAGGGATGGAGGCTTTGTCAGGTATAGAGGGCATTTTCTACACAGCCTCCCTACCAGGAACTTGCCGCTATGGGACTGACCCTAGGCATTTATATGTGGACACACAGAGGTAGTATGGAGAAGGTCAGTCAGTGGGTGGGGAACATTATCCTGCTTTTTGGTGTCTTTTTGGTGAAGGAATGTGGGCTTGGTACTTTTTTGGAAACTTTTTTTTTTTTAATGGGAACTGAGACTTTGACCCGAAAGACAAATTTATGGATAAATATTTACAAAAATATAAATTGCCCAGATTAGCAGAAGAAGAAGTAAAATGGTTAAATAACCCCATCTCAGAAAAAGAAATTGAATAAGCCATTGATGAACTCCCTAGTAAAGAATCTCCAGGACCAGATGGATTTACAAGCCAGTTCTATCAAACATTTAAAGAACAATTAATTCCAATACCATGTAGATTATTTGGGAAAATAGGTGAAGATGGAGTCTTACCAAATTCTTTTTATGATACAGATATGGTGCTGATACCTCAACCAGGAAGAGTCAAAACAGAAAAAGAAAATTATAGACCAATTTCCCTAATGAATGTAGATGCAAAAATTTTAAATAAAATATTAGCAGAAAGACAAATTTATAAATTGCTTTGTAAATTATCATATGAATTAATTTGCCTTAAAAAATTCTACAGTTGTATCCTAAGCACCAGAATTCAGACCTTTTTTATGTCTCAGTGGGCCGAATTAATTACCAGCTGCTGATAAATGTTAGTTTGATCTGAAGATTTGAAATGAAAGCTTCAGACCCAATATAGCAAAATTCTATTGGGGGAATTTGGGAAACAGTGTACACAACCCAACTCTGAGGGCTGTTAATCTGCCTGTGGTTGTTGAACTGCCGAAGACTTGGTTATTCTTAGCTAAGGCGCCGGTTTTTACATGATCTTTATTGTTATGATTAAGAAAATAATGGACAAACTCCTCTAGCTCTCTTTCATCCCCACCCTCTAAATCCAGTTTGCTTCAAAAAGACATTTTCAGACATACTTTGTTCTCCTAAGACAAACAACAGGCAAGAAAGGAATGATGCCCATTTTTCCTTTAACTTAGCACTGATTAGAAGACAGCAAATAGAATTGGGCATGCTCATGTGCTTGCTTCCCAGTGGTATCTTGAACTCAGCTGAGTGGGTGGAGGACAGCTTGGGAAGGCAGGACGACTTTGATTCAAGACCTTGTGACTGTGCACAAGTCATTCCCTCTCTCAGCAGGACCCCGGTCAGTTCTCCAAAACTCTTAGTTACCGAAGAGTTTCTGATTTTCGTTGGTATGGAAAATTTCCACACTGAGCTAAAGTTTGAAGGACTGAACTTCAAACTTAAATACCCGTAATAGACGTGTGATATGAAATACCTGTTAGAATCCATGTGTGTTTGCAATAAAGAATGTTTATGTTACTCAAAGATTAAAACGCATTTTTCTTGTTGATCAAAGTAATCCAGGAACCACCATAAACTGTTGGGTGTCATAAATGCATTAATTCATTCCACAAACAACCTTTGAACCCTTGCCATGGCCAAGGCATGGTGGGAAACACAATGAAAAAGAAGATTGCATTCCTTGCCTTCAAGGAGCTTGCATGCTAACAGGTGTGATGGTGGAATTGAGGATTTTTAATTCCATTAGAAATTTTGCTCAGAGATTTCCCAGGCTAAACAAAGATTATCTTTCTGAGGGCCAGAGGGCATTACCATTGATTTTCATATAATACAGATATGCCATCTCTATATGTTTCTTTCCCCCTTTTGAGAATGGGGTTTAGGTTTGTCACTACTGTAATCTAAAGGGATGAGAATAAGAACAGAGTCTGGGCTTGTTAATTGATTAGGGAACTCCTAGGTGAGGAAGCTCTCTCTGCCAGTGAGTCCAGCATTTCCTCTGTAACATATGGCCAGAGAGCTGCCCGGAGCACTTGCAACTGAAGTGACTTGCCTGGGGTCATTCAGATACAGGACTTGAACCCAGGTCTTCATGGCTCCAGGGCTAGCTCTCCATCTACCACACCATGCTGCCTATCATTGTTATCTATAAAATATTAAATGAAAATACATTAAAAGTTTGTTCTGTCTTACGCAGTTATCCATTCAGAAGGTAAGTGCCCATTTTTATTTTTTTGGTCAGGGTACTCCAGCTCTGCCCCAGCCTGGCATACAGTCAGAAACAGTGGTGAAGGGAACAGTCGCTCGAATCTCCATGGACGACAGTAGCCCCGAGAAGAGCCGAGAGGAAGCCGTGTCCAAAGGCCACGTGATTTATGAAGGAAAGAGTGGACACATCTTGTCCTATGACAGTGAGTGTGAATGGCGAGCCGTGTGCAACGGCAGCCCCGAGGACTGCTCCTCCAGCCTGCTGGGGAACGTTTGCAGGGAGCAGGCAGCCCCCGACTTGGCTTCGGCACTTGGGGAGCTGGGCACCTGTGGGTCCTGGTTCTGCCCTTCCCATGTGTCAGCCTTTCAGATGCCTAAAAACAGCTCTCCTGCATCCTCTGCAGTCTTTTCTTTAGTGTTAACCACCCCTTTTCCTTGCATGGATGCTCTTAGGACATGACTTGGGGATCTTTCTGCGTGTTCACCTCTAGATTCTCCTGTTTTTCGGTGACCTTGCTAAAGCATGGTGTGCAGAACAACAACAACAGTAATAATGCTAGCTAGTATTTATAAAGTGCTTGATGTAACTTAACTCATTTGATTTTGCCCACGCACAAACCCTATGTGGTAGGTGCTATTATTATCACTCTGCAGATGAGGAAGCAGGCTGAGGAAGTTAAATGATTTACCATAGTGGCATACCTCATAAGTGTCTTAAGACAGGATTTGAACTCGCATCATCTTAAGTTATCTCCATCTTGACTGTGAAGCTGATTTTCTTTAACCTAAGCTTCAGATAGGACTTTTATCCCTGTTAGATTCTGCTTAGTAGTCTAGCCTGTGAGGGCATTTTTGCATCCTTACACCGTTATCCAATATGTTCGCTGTCCCTCCTAGCCTCGTGTCATTTACAGAGCTGCCAGCAGTGCTATCTGTGCCTCGAAGTCAGCAGCCAAGGGCCAGGCGCTGATTTGTGGCAAACTCAGAACCTCCGTCCAGGTTGAAATTGGACCGTGCTTATTGCCATGTTTGTAGTACTGTGCTTTTGCGTTCGTTCTCCGTTGTGTCCCTTCCTTCCATCTTCTGTATGTGTCGTAGGAAAATCTAAGGGACATCCACAGAGAGTTTCTCCTTCTCCTTCTCCTTGGTTTCTTTGTGTGTCTTTAGAATTTCTTTCCTGAAGGTTTCCTGTCTCCCCTGAGCTGACTTTTCCTCTTCAGGAGTTGCTTATCTCTTCCTTCTCTCCTTCCCTGCCACGTCATGCTCTCTTTTTTTCTTTTCTTTTTCTTTTTTTTTTTTCACACATCACATTCTCTTACTACTCTGCCTCCTGACCAAGAGCTCTCGCTCTTTTCCCAAACTTTTTCTCCATTTCCTCATTGAAATGCTTTGGATTTTACCCCGAAGATTAACTTATTTAATGGCGTTGCCTTGATAAAAAAGATTATTTTTTTTATATTTGGAGGCATAAAATTTCATCTGTTCATCAGTTTTAAACACCTTGACCAGGAAGTATTTTTAAGGTTTAACTTTGAATTGCTTTTATAAAATTGCTTTGATAAATTTAACAAAAGCAGGTGTATTCTTAAAATTATCTGTAAATATCCATTTTGCACAGAAAAGCCAGATAGAGGACAGTAAAATGGGAATTAGGATACCCTTATCCATATCATCTTGGAAAACCTTAGTAAAAAATTTAATTTTCATTGTCTTCCTGGAAAAAAGTTGAGAATCTTGAAATGTTTAAGTATCTCTAATAAATTTCACTTGGTTGTATTTTTTGTTTGTATTTGGAGAAAAGTGAGGGGTCATTCATTCAGAACAGGCATGCTTTGTGGCCAGTCATTTTCTTTACATTCAGAATGTTTTGCAGGTGTGAAATCACATTCCTCTGGTCTGTGTTGTACAGTTCACTGTGGGGTTTAGAGGTTCTGTGTTCTGACTGAACCTTTGCCAAGTGGCTAAACTTATTTTTACGTTGTGTAGATATTAAGAATCCCCGAGAGGGAACCAGGAGCCCAAGAGCTGCTCATGAAATGAGTTTAAAGAGAAGCTACGATTCCATGGAAGGAAGCATCAAACAAGGGATGTCGCTGAGAGAGTCTCCTGTGTCTGCCCCTTTGGAAGGTACGGTGCCAAACACCACACCGTAGGGCTCATATTGAATGTGCAGGTGATTGGAAGGAAATCTTGGTAGAGAATGTTAGGGAAAAGTCACTATTCAAAACTAGTTCATAAGGCTTTCCTAGTAAATCCATTTGAGGTGCTGCGTTGTGTAGAAATTCAGTTCCAGAAAACTGTCAGCACCAATGCAGTGCACAGAGCACTATACAAAGTGCTGAGAGTGCTGCCAAGGTGAAAAGGAAGCTGCTCCTGCTCTCCAGTTCCTGCCCTGAGAAGGTAGTGCCTGGGCTGAGCCTTAAAGAAATTGGTGCATTGGTGAAGAAGTGAGGAAAAGCATTGCTGCACAAGCACAGACAGTAGGGGATCCTGTCAAAGGACCAGCTCCTTGGAGCCCTGGGGTGCTGGGATATTGCGTGTAGCCAGCAATAGGAAGTAAGCTGGAATGGGAAGTGAATGGGAGAGTGCCAAGGAATCTGCAAGGAGACATTGAAGGCTTTAGAGCACTGCCATCAGACTTGGTCCATGAGGAAACCCCCAGGCATGGTCCTTCCAGGGTTTGAAGGCTGGAGGCTTGGCTCTCCTCAGTCTTGTAGTGACAGAGCACAGAGTTGGTATCAGTGATGCCACCTTCCCTTTCCAGCAAGGCTCACCTTTCAGGTGCTTGCTGGCGACAAAGGCAGCAACAGGCAGCCCTAAGACACTCCTAAGCTTTCGTGACCTGTTACAGATAGAAAACCCTGAACTGGTAGAAGTACAAAAAACAAGGAAAGAACTCTTTACTCTTAAAGAAGTGCTAAGTAAATAAGGGGAAAGATTTTGTTTACATGGAAGTATCAGAGATGTAAAAGACCTTTGAGATCGTTGAGTCCAGTACTCATAATTTACCATTTGGGAAACTGAGATCTAAGGAAGCAAAGCAACTTTCCAAGGGTCACACCAAAAATGGTGGACCCAGCATTTGAACCCTCCCCCACTGACTCCAGATTAGCCATCTTTTCTCTGCACACAATGACTCTGGTTTCCTCTTAATACATAGTGTTGGAGTTGAAATCTCTTAAGAATTACCGTGCAGTTGATAGTTTCCTCAGGGTTGTAGTCAAGCAGCAAGCATTGATTAAGTGCTCGAGATGTGCCATATGTTATGCTAAGCTGAGATGGAAACATCAGGAAATAAGAAACTTATATTCTAGTGGGAAAGACAGCAAGCGCCTAGAGAATTAATGTAGAGTGAACAGATGTAAAGTAGCCAGCACAAGTAGTTTGGGAGGGAGAGCAGGAATCTTGAAGGAATGAAAAGATTCTTTGAGGTAGAAGGAGGGAGGCATCCTATTCTGGACATGGGGAATGGCCAGTGTAAAGGCACAAGAGAAAGCAAGTGCTCCGTGTGAAGGACAGAGAGAAGGCAGTTTGGCTGGATCTCAAGTAATGGCCAAAAAGGCTGGAAAGGTGGGCTTGTGTACATGGCGTGGAAGGCAGTCAGATCTAAACACATGAATTTATATTTTGTGCTGGAGACAAACAGGGAGCCCCCTGAATTAATTGGATAGGAGAGATTTGCACTTAAGAAGAATCACTGCCAGCTGGGTGGAGGATAGACTTGGGCCACCGATAGATAGGTGCTTGCGATATTTCAGGTGAGGATTGTTGAGGGCCTGAGCCAGTCTGGCAGCTGTGGGATTAGAGAGGAATCAGGAACACGGGACATTGTGGAGATGGAAATGGCAAGATGTGGCCACTCGTTGGCTGTGTGTGTGAAGAATACAGAGTGGAGGAGATACTGAGTTTGTAAACCTGAGAGCCCAGGAGGATGGAAGGACTTTGGACAGAACTTGGGAAGTTTGGGAGAGGTGTGGGTTTTGAGGGGAAAGACAATGAGTTTAGTTTTGGGCATGTTGAGTTGGAGATGCCTCTGGGACAGCCAACTTGAAATGTTCAAAAGGCAGGGAGGCAGGGCTTAAGCTTGGGGGAAAAGGGGGCTGTCTGTATAACTGAGTCATCTGCATAAAGGTGACCATTTGTCAGGTTCCTGACAGGCAGAAAGAGGAGAGAACGGGGTCGAGGATTGACCCTTGAGGAATACCTGCACTTAGTGAGCTTGATTTGCTCCCAGGCTTGGTAGACCTTTTTGTAGTTCTTGGTTTTTTCCACTCTCAGTGTATCTGGTGGGTTTTTTTTTGTTCTGTTTGTTCTGGTGGGTTTGTTTGTTTGTTGTCCTTCTCCTACTTATCCTTCCCTATCCAAGCACATAAGCATTGGGCTGCTGTGTCTTCACTTTGAAGTTTACTTTTTGCTGTTGGTCTGATGTAGTTCTTAGCCTCTGCCATTTTATACTTAGGAAGGTCTGTTTAAAAGCTGACACATTTTTGTGTTGTAAACTGCATGTTACTGTTCGTTGTTAAGTGTTCGTGGTAAATCTTCTTCAAAAAAGCAACATTCTTCTATGGAAGACATGTTAAAAAATGGTCACTCTAATGGATATATTAAATGTGAGTTCTCGGGATTATACACTGTATTTGATTATTTGTCTGCTTTTTGTTTTAAAGGGTTGATATGCCGTGCACTGCCCAGGGGTAGCCCTCATTCTGATCTTAAAGAGAGAACAGTGCTATCTGGTTCTATAATGCAAGGTAAATTAGAAATTTTCTTTACTGTCGATTCATTTCCCTTTTGCTGGCAAAAATGGTTCAATTTATATTTAGTGAATGAAACCTGCCCTCTGGGGTTAGTAGTTAGTTTGCTGTTGGATTCCTATAAGGTTTAAGTCTTTCCTGATTTTTTTTTTGCGAGATAGACTTGACTTATTTGAAAATGTATAGGTGCCCATTCTTTCACATTTATAAATATTTTCATTAACTACTTTTTGGTAATCATTATATATGTAAAAACGCCCTAAAATGTTAATCCAAGAACTTTAGATCTGGAAAAGTGCCTTAGCTATAATCTAATCCATCTCCCTCATTTTGCAAATGAGAAAATGGGGCCTGGAGGATTTGTGACTTTCTCATGATAACCCGTGATAACTTAATGGTGGAACTGGCACTAGAACTCAGATCTCTTGACTGCCAGTCAAAGTCTGTCCTTTTCTTCTCTCATTCATAATTCTGAGGAATTGAGTGCCTGATATGTGCAGGGACATTAATATGTTGGATATTGCTCAAATGGCACTGACTAAACAGTCATTTAATTTTTTCTTTGGAAGGCACACCAAGAGCCACAACGGAAAGCTTTGAAGAAGGCCTTAAATACCCCAAACAGATTAAAAGAGAGAGTCCTCCCATCCGAGCATTTGAAGGAGCTATTACAAAAGGAAAACCATATGATGGAGTCACTACTATCAAGGAAATGGGACGTTCAATTCATGAAATTCCAAGGCAAGATCTTTTAAGTCAGGAAAGCCGGAAAACTCCAGAAGTAATCCAGAGTACAAGACCCATAATTGAAGGTTCCATTTCTCAGGTAATAATGTTTTAGAGGGCGGGCCTTTCTTTGCATTGAGCAATCCCACTTGCAGCCAGAAAGTCATAAGTTGAGTTCTGGAAGAGCCTTTTGAGAGCATCTGGTCCCCGCCTCCTCATTTTACATGAACTGAGGGCCTCAGGGATTCAGTGACCTGCCAGAGTCAGGATCTGAACCCAGACTCTTGGACCTTAAGTCAATCATTCTTTTCTATAAAAGCTTATAAAATAAGACCCAACGCTCATCACAGGACTTTAGGACATGGAGAGCAGAGGGGTGGGTCAGGAATATAAATACAGAAGCTATCATCATAGTAAAAGTTATTTATCTTGTTCATAGCATGTAATGTTTTTGATTCAGAACAGGGAGATCTAGTTAGGTGGTTCAAGTCAGATGCTTGAAACAGGGAGTAAAAACAGCTTAATTTTTTTAAATTAAATCTTTTTTATATCCTGGGATAAATATTCGTAGTGCTTGTTTTTCTCTTTTTAGGGCACACCCATCAAGTATGAAAGCAACTCTAATCAATCTGCCATTAAACATAACGTCAAGTCTCTAATCACGGGCCCTAGTAAGCTCCCTCGTGGGTTGTCTCAGTTGGAAATGGTTCCAGAGAATATCAAAGTGGTTGAACGAGGGAAATATGAAGATGTAAAAGCTGGAGAACCAATCCGCTCCCGGCATACGTCAGTTGTTAGCTCTGGTCCCTCTGTTCTAAGGTCAACCCTTCACGAACCTCCCAAAGCACAACTGAGTCCTGGGATTTATGAGGACGCCAGTGCAAGGAGAACGCCTGTGAATTACCAGAGCCCCATGTCCAGAGGGTCCCCCATGATGAACAGGACTTCTGATGGTATGGTCTTTTGCAGCCTTGTCTCACCCTCCTCATTGAACTTCATGTCAGTCACAAGCAGCAGTTTTCAAGTAATTCAGTTTTGTTAGATGCTCACAGGCCTCTCTTAGTCAGCAGCCGTAACTAGCTAAGTGCTTACAGGGGGCCAGGCAGGCGAAAATGAGAGTCCCTGCTCTCAGGGAGCCTAAAATCTATTGGGGGAAACAGCTTGTTTTAGGCTCCAGTTATTCCTTTGGGGAATTATCCCTTTTCTCGACACAGTTTGAATGCTTACCTCAATTAGGGAAAACATTCTTTCCTTAGTTCATGTTAAAATGATATCATACGGACTCCATTCTCTCTAGTCTGCCTCAGCCGCCATTTTCATTAGTGCCTTTATTAATCTTTTACAAGAAGAGTGCGGGTTAGTCAAGTTTGAGCTCTTGATGTGGTCCAGTGGGCTGCACAAATCCCCTCTGATTCTGCATGATGAAAAGGCAGAAGAAGAGGACTTTGATCCCAGTGCTATGGCACGTTTTTCTGCCGTTGAGCTATCAAACTACTCCCAAGTGGGATCGGCACATCATTCAGTCCAGGCCCGGCTACAGAGGGCTCGATGTGAGAGCCATCTTTGTGGTACAGGCAGCCACACAGATGACCCATGGTCTTTGTGGGTATCAGAGTCTCCCTGGAAGAAGGAGAGCTTCATTTCACGGAGTGAGTCCAAGAGGTCTTGGGCTTGTTGTCAGCTAATTCCCCTCCCTGTTCTGTTCATGTGGCGTTGGGCTGGAGTCATCAGGAGTTACTGAGTACTCACTAGGGCTGGGACTAAAGTTTTGGAAGTCAGGCTTCTGTGAAAGAGGAACACAGGACAGCATACTCATAACTGGAAGAACATAGAAACCCATGTGAATCAGTAGAGTGTAAAATAAGTGCTAACATCTTGTTAACGCAGTGTTCGAGGCTGCTTAGAGATGGATGGCATGACCAGGTACCTAAGAAGGCTTTCTCAATGAAGCAGCCTTCTAAGCTGTCCTCCCTAGTCTTCTGTGATTCAGAACCCCAATGCTGACCCTTTGTGGCTCAGTAGCTCAGCCAGGTCTTTATTTCTTCCCCCAGAAGGATCTAAATTCGTTAAATACATAACCCTCGTGGCATTGACACCGAAGCAAAATGGAAGGGGGGCCCCCCTTCCCATTCATACATGGTAGCTTTCTCTGGCTGACATTTCACTTCAGTATTGTCCCTATTATTCATTTCAACGTGATTTTATTTGTATAAATTAGGAGGAACTGCAGTTGAAAGTGTGACCTGCCCTCTGCTTTGTATTCCCCGAGCCTCACGTCTCACTAAGGAAGGCCTTCACTTTTCTGTATGGTTAAAAGTCGGTGAGACACATAGCACAGCAGTTAAGATCCTCCTGTGTGCCAGCCATGGCGCTCTGCACAGGGATACAAAGAAAAATAAAAAACAGTCCCTCCCTACAAGGATCTCCCAGTGCTTTGAAGATAGTGAGAAAAGGTGATCGATTGTCAGCATGTTGCCTCCCTTTAAATTTCAAAGCCAGGCAATCAGTAAGCATTTATTAAAGGCCTGCTGTGTGCTGGCCACTGTATTAAGTGCTGGGGATACAAAAAGCATGAAATGGGGGGAGGGGCGGTTCTTGCTGTATTCCAGAAGGGGTCCTCCCTTTCACAATCTAATGTGGCAGCTAGTTCAGTGTCATTCAAATATTGAGCATCTCTGATGGGTGAGGTCTTGTATTCATGCCCCACAAAGGATTCAGAGATGAGTCCGCCATATTCCTAAGCCTTTGGTGAGCTTCCACAACACAGGTACATAGATAATTTTTCCCTACATCTACACAGATTGAGTAGAAAATAAAATAGATGGAATTTTTGTTTTTAAGATAATAAAATGTATATGTTCCTATGAGTCCTTGATAAATGGATCAATTCCGTAAATGCAAGTTATGTCGTCTGTCTTGGCTTTACTTTTTTAGCTGCTGTTTCTTCTGGGAAGTCTGCAAATCACGAAAGGAAATCTACGCTTACTCCTACTCAAAGAGAAAGTGTCCCTTTACCAGCTAAGTCTCCAGTCCCAGGGGTGGACCCTGTCGTCACCCACAGCCCTTTTGAGCCCCACCACAGAGGCAGTGCGCCAGGGGAGGTCTATCGAAGCCATCTTCCTGCACACCTGGATCCTGCAATGCCATTTCACAGGGCACTGGACCCTGGTGAGTACTGTTTTGGGCAATAGAGGCTCATGACTTAATTATTTAAAAGAAGAGAGTGTACGTTTATCGGGCGAGAGGCCCTTTCCCTCTCCTCTTCCCCCTCCATCCATTGCTTAAGAGTACAGAGGCTGCAGCAGCCCTGTACTACATGGGGAGCCTATTAATATCATCTGTTCATAGGGACAATTTCCATGGCAACTGACATTTATAGCATGCATTAACGGAGATCTTTCCCAGGATAATTATTCTCTTAGAAGTTTTAGTGAAGCACAAGCCCCCCTGACTATTGAGTATCATCTCTTAGTATTGCTCAGCCTGTAGTGAGCTACTTCTGTGCTTGGGGCTCAGGTGTGCATTCTCTCCACTGGCTTACGGCGTCCTAAAATAACACATTTTCCAGGAGAACAGCCCGGGGGCCTGAGACCTCCCAGGCTACGTACACATTTCGGCTTTCGCCCATGTTGCTTTCCTATCTGGAATGCCTTCCTGTTTCTCAGCTCAAAACACGTGCATCTGTTCTCCCTTTCAATTCCGCAACCATTGCCTGAGAGTTTGCTGTATACCAGACACCATACTAGATCCCTGTGGTACAAAGAGAGAAATGAAATAGTTCCTGTCCTTGAAGAGCTTTTGTTCTATTGAAGGGAAAGAATGTGTCTAACAGATAAATAAATGCAAAATAGCAGAGTGGTTTGGAAGGGGCACACTAACAATCCCCATGAGAGAATATTGCCTCGAGGGTTAATTGAGCCAAACTGTTTTCATTGTTTTCATTAATTTAGTTTTGCTTTCTTGCTGTTATCTAGTAGTGACAGAACTGAGCAGACTAAACGAAAGCTAACAACTGCAGAGAGCAATTACTGGCATTTTGAAAAGGTCTCCGAAGCTATTTTGTTACTACCAGTGTTCTCAGGCTTTAGGGAAGCAAATTTTCCATCATCCAATGGATCACGTAGTTTCCTGGAGTTTCCTAGAGCTCAAAGAGTGCCCACAAACCAAATTGTCACCAGAGGCAGGTTGTTGGCTCAGTGGTTTATGGAAACAAAAAGCTTCAGAGTTAGGGTATCTTTCATTTTCTTCCCCAAACTAACCGTCTTTGGTCTGTGTTAGTGCGTTATTTTTATACCAGATTAGGTCAGAAGTTAGGTCTTAGACAAAAACAAAGTCTTCAGTATTTTTTTTTGAGTGTATTATGACACACTTGTGTGTGTGTGTGTGTTTGTGTTCCTTTTTTCTAAAGTTGGTCCATTTGTTTTTGTCTGATTGTTGATTAGCACAGATCAGATCCGTTTCTCCCCTCCACTCGCTCCTCTCACTAAATCTGTGTTCTACACCTTTGTAATTCATGATTAAGTGCTTATTGTCCATCTAGCCTTTCTTGCCCCAAGAAAAATAAATACGACTATTTATAGTATATTTGTGCCAAGAAATGAGAAATACAAATGCCATTCTGATCCAATGTTCTCATGAATCTGATGGATCAGAATTAAATCTCTTCTAAAGAAGAGTCATGGTGTAGGTGGTTCTTGGGGAGAACATTATAATTATACTATTTAGAAGTATTTGGAAAGGAAAACTTCTGGAGAATTCTCTTAGATAGTGTTAGAAGTACTGGGAAGATGAGTAATTTTAACCTTTCCCTACCATTTCTCCTTGAATGCAGTAGGAATACCTGAGTGATAGCTGGTTAGCAGTGCTGCGTGTGCAACATGCGCTTCACAGAGTTTGTCATTAGCTTTTGTACTTCTCATTGGATGTTTGGCTGCCTTCTCCAGAGACTGAACTTCTGTCTGTCTCTCTCCTACAGCGGCCGCTGCATACCTGTTCCAGAGACAGCTTTCCCCGACACCAGGTTACCCAAGTCAGTATCAGCTTTATGCAATGGAAAACACGAGGCAGACGATTCTGAATGATTATATCACCTCACAACAGATGCAAGTCAACTTGCGCCCTGATGTGGCCAGAGGACTCTCCCCCAGAGAGCAACAATTAGGTCTCCCATATCCTGCAACCAGAGGTATGCCTTTCTGATTCCTCTAGCTAATTCTTCTTTTATGTGTTAGTGCAGACTTTTACATGGTTTCCGCTGAGGCCACCCTCCCATCTAGCTTTGGAAGGCCTCCCAGTCCATGAAGCCCAAGTGGTGTCCAGAGCAAGGGAGTCAGTGCACAGTAATGTCATTCACATGTCTATATAGCGCCTGAGGATTTGCACAGCACCTTGTTCAGAGGCTGAGAAGGTTCTGAGATGATAGGTGATTTGCCAAGAACACACAACTGGTGAGGTATCTGTAGCAAGATTTGAACCCAGGTCTGCTGACTCTTAAGCTCAGCACCATCTACTCTACCATATTGCCCCACAGCATTACCTCTGCCAGGCGTCATTCACTGGGCACGAACTAAGTAAAGGAGCTCTAGGAGTATGGCTCTTCCAAATTACATGGCAAGGTTTTTAGAGCCAACCTTCTCCCAGCTGCTTTGTTGGGCTCCTAGAATTGTAGGTTCCTGAGGGGTGCCAGAATCTTTAGGAGTTTTATGTTTCATTGGTGAATGAGCTGGAAAATTAATGGAGGAGGATGTGCACAATTGGAATTTGTATGTATTCCACATGTTGGCTGAGAGGCAGATTGGGCAGAGAGCTGGCCTTAACAGCGACAAGTCGTTGACCTATCAGAAGACCAGGCCCCTGCTGTTTGGCTTGAGAAAACAAGGGTGAAAATCCTCCTCTTAGCTTATTAATCTTTATGACAGGAATCATTGACTTGACCAATATGCCTCCCACCATCTTGGTGCCTCATCCTGGGGGTGCAAGCACTCCTCCAATGGAGAGAATCACTTACATACCAGGTACCCAGCTGACCTTCCCTCCCAGACCTTACAATCCTGCTTCAATGTCTCCAGGTAAGAATCTTTGCTCTGCTTTACCTTGATTAAAAGCGTTGCCTGGTGGTTTTCCACCAGGCAACACCAGGACTTCATGAGCGTAAATTTAGAACTAGAAGGGGCCCTGGCTTGATCTGTTCCAACCTCCTCATTTTAGATAGGAGGAAACTGAGGTCCAGAGGGGTTCGGCGACATCCAAGGTCATCCCAGGACAAAGTATCCAAGCTAAGCTTTGGACTCGGGTCTTTTCCATTAGAGCCTGCCCTCTTAGTGCCACCCCTTTCTGATGGCTATGGTGCTATTTATCGTTGGGTTTTGGTTAGCAATATGTTCCTATCTCAGTTGATAATGGAGCTGTTTGGAGAAATATTGTAAAATCATTGTATTCATCAACATTTTAATCTGAACCCCTTTAATGATAAAACAGGCATAGCCTTCAAGTCTAGAGCTTTTTGTAAAAAATTGTACTTGTTTGAAAAATGTAAGTTTTGTTGCTGTTCCTGCTGGGGATATGAAAGCCTATGGATTGGTGTGTTTTACAGGCCACCCATCACACCTGGCTGCATCTGCTGCCGCAAATGTTGAAAGGGAGCGTGAGCGGGAAAGGGAAAGAGAGAAAGAACGTGAGCGAGAGAGGGAAAGAGAGCGGGAGCGGGAAAGAGAGCGGATTGCTGCTATGTCTTCAGAGCTCTACCTTCGTCCAGGTAAGAAATGGAAGGTGTAAAGTTCATTTTCTTATTGTTCAGTGGAGAGGCACGATTCTTGTTATTGACATTCTAAGCTAAGTCTCCCAAAGTGAATGTGAGAAGTCTAACCCCATTTGCAATACTGGACAGTTTTTTTTTTTTTATGCTAACACACACACACACACACACA